TATATTGCAAATTTAAAAATTGAGGTTCTGATGATTAGGCACAAAATCTGCTGCTAGAGTCAGTACCCTAGCATTTAAAATAGAAATTGTCGTCAACTGAAAATATCAGATACAGTTTCTAAATCTTACCCAAAGTTTACATCTGATTCACTCATGGTCATACTGCAACTGGTTTCTTGCTTATATAATAAAGGATGAATAATCTCAGCCAAATTATTCAAAAAGATAAATGCTTGTGGAAAGGGAAGGAGGTACATTTACTTTATTATTTATGTATACATTTCCTCCAACTGCTCTTAAATTAGATGTTTTAAGAGAAAATGAAGGAAATGAAGATTTTTATGTAAGTACATTCTAGCCATAAGCATAGGTCAGAGTAAATTGCTTCAGCCAAACCACAAGAAGGACAAGGTGAAGAGGGTGTGGTTTAATTAGACTGCAATTTTATTAACTCACCTGGAAACATGATGAGACAATACATTGTACAATTAAGGTCATATTCACGTTTTCAACCTACTTTTCAATCCACCCTGATCACCTGAAGGTTTCTAGGAACCCTACGCCGTCCAATGAGGGCCTTTGACAGTGTGGCTTCTTTGAGGAACAAAAGACAAAAGAATGTCTCAAACAATGGGAAAGTTGCAAAATAACTTCCCCACTTCCCAGTACAGACAGCTGAGTAATCCCCCACCTCCTAGGGAAGGATGGGGGACTGGGGAGAGTTGAGGGTAGGGTGGGGCGGAGATCATCACAAATCATGTTACTTAAGAGCCATCACATTTAGAATAAATCTAACAAGAATGTGAAGTTTGAGCTAGCTGTCTATCTGTTCTCAGGTGCTGCCTGGAATGGACATTCTGGACAGAGGAAGAAAATACTGAGAATCCAGCATGAAATATAACCCAGTCAATAATTGTAAGCAGAGAAGAGCCTAGTAGCAGACACAAGGAGCTAGGTAATGCCTGTGAAGTTGTATTTTTAATTAAAATGTGTCTGTCCCTACATATAGTTTTTACAGAAGATCATTCATGGGCAGAGCTTTCCTTAAGGCTCCTATGGGCTTCCAGCTGATGTGCACTCCATTGACACTTGGATTTTTGTAAGGAAAATATTAATACTTCATGTTTAGGTTCTTATTTGAGGATCAGATTCAACCAATTTCCTCTAGCAATACTAAAAAATGTTGAATGTATATAGCATCCTTCACATGAGCATATTACAGTATCTCAAAAAGACCAGGAAAGAACTATTATTTCTATTTTACTAGTCGTGAAACTGCGGTCCCAAAAAATTAATTTGTTCATAATCACAATTTAGGACCATTCAGGTATAGAATCAAGGGGCCCATTTCAAATTTAGGATCCAGAATCAGATCTTGTTTGTACTGTAAAAGGCACAGCACAAAATTCTCACCCCAGGCTTAGTGGAACCAAGGTATCATTAAATTCAACCTATGCCTTCCTGATATTAGGACGTTAGGTTGCTCTGGGGACAAGAAAAGCCTCAGTGTAAAGCTGAGGCCCTTAAGGTAGTCTGTCTAAATTATGGTAGCTGCCAAGTTACTCTAACCCAACCCAGGCCTGTTGAGCTGTAGGCAGCTTCACAACATTCCTGGTAGTGCCTGTATCCATCTTGCCCTGACATGGAAGCTCCTTCTTGTTGCTCTCCCATCTCTAAGCCCTGTGCTCATCACATTGTATTTATGGCTTTGTTGTAACTCAATAAGTATTTGATTACCTAAAAATTGGTGTAATTAGCAGTCAAAACAGGAAACAATGTTTGAAAATGGCAAAAACATATACACAGTCCAAAGCAAAACATAGAAGAAACTCTCAGCAGAAAGTTCTGAAAAACTATTATCAGTTTCTGTAAGTATATGTATTTTGCAATTCAGTAGAAGTAAATATGTTCTATGAAGCTGTCATAACATGGGGCTACACATGGCATAATTAAGGTACCATGTTGTTACTAGTAATTAGTGATGTGAGTTTTGGTTCTCTCACACAGACAATTTGCCTGCTGGTGTCATGATACATCTTCTCTAGGTCTTTAAATCAAACAACATTATTAGTACATCCTCTTGACAGTTTTGTTAGCTGTTGCCACCTCCCTTTTCTCTTGGATTTTCTCTCCTCAGAAGCAACTACTGCCCAGTGAGCAACTGACTTCTTGCATGGGTCACTAATAATAAAAATTCCCAGGTTTTTAAAAAATGGAAAGCTTTTAGTTCTGCCAGCCCATCAGAAGCCAGAAAAAATAATAATTTGTACTCTAGCAATATCTGAGAAGGGAAGAAGTGGTTTACAACCGCTGATTAATCCTCTTAATAGTCCTATGGTAGAGGCAAGTATCATTAGCTTGGTTTATTTAAGGACATGGGTGACTGGTGCCTCCCAAGTCTGAGTGGGCACCAGATCACCGAGTGGGGGGTACCCCAGCCACTGATTGCTGCCTGGGGGGAGGGGAGGTGTCCCCCAGTGGCCGATCGCCAGTGTTTAAGGATGAGCAAATTGGGGCTTTTTAAATCACTTCTTAAGGGTCAAAAAAGTTAGGATCCTGGAATTCCCTATCCCCAGTCCAGAGATCTAACCACTGCTTAACTCTTCTTCTTCTGTTTGGAATATCTTTTCTTGCATATTTTTGTCTTTTTTTTTAATTAAGCTACTGTGGATATTGCATTGAATGCAGGGCAGTGGCCATGTCTACATGAGATGCTAACTGCACAGTTGTTACTGTGCAGTCGTTTGGTACTCACATACCTAAGTACCAAATGGCTACCCAGTAACCAGCATTACTGTGCAGCAGCATCGCCTCATGGCTTTGTGTTGACAGTGACTGTGCAGTATCTTGTTACTACTACGCAGTAGTATTGCATCACAGGTCATGCCCCGTGATGCTACTGTGCAGTAGTAATGAGCTACTGTGCAGTAAGCATCTCATGTAGACATAGCCAGTTACTCCCAGGCAGACACAAATTACCATGATATGTTCTTGCAAAATTCTCATTTATTTCTTTCTGATTGTGTTTCATATAGCTATTCTGTAGGGCCAATTCATAGTTGAATTCATAAAGTTACCTTTATACTGCAGTGTAAACACTGGTATTTTATGCTTCATCTTTGTGTGTATTATGGACATCAATATGTAAATAGATTAGCTATATACACACATATGTGCATAATTTGTTTCCCTCCCAGCTAGAAATTTATGTATATGGGATTATTGAAAAAGTGAACTCGTGCTCTGATGCTTTGGCTTGATATAGAAAAGACTACAACCAGAGCACCTGATAGTTTTATAACTGTTGTGTTGTTTTCTGCAAATGAATTTGACTGGAATGTTTTTACCTCTAGCATAACATTTGCAGAAGTCTGTGTTTCAAAGCTGACAAATTTTCCCTTTAATAAAGAAAAAATGTAGTACTGTATTTTTTCTTTTTAACTAAGCTCTGTGGGTCTGTGTAGCATGCAAAAAAAAATGTTGTCCTTGTCACCTGCCATTTTTCCAGCCAACTTGACACCCCCAGGCTTCCCAACAGCTCTTTCCAGCAGGAGCTGTCTCAGAGCTCTTAGCACCACCAAATAATTGAGGTTGTCACATCTCTTGTTCATTGTTTTTTCCAGGCCTGGAAAAAATGCAAATATTTCATTGTAGTCATTAATTTTCCCATCCTTTTCTTCAAGCATCTCATTGGTTTGATCTGATGAAAAGGGCTGAAGGCATTATTGCAAACACAGTGGCATCCAGGTTCTGCCTATAGTGGGGAAGAATCTCATCAGATAAAGTCTCAGGGAGGTCATCAATCACAGTTGCTGACAACCATTTTGCCTTCGTTTGTTACAGATGTGAACATGCTTAATTATTTGTAGTGTAATTAGTTCATGAAATGTCAGGAAATGTCAAACTGTGTTCACAGCACAGATTTTTGCAGCAAAGAGCAATGAGAGCAAGTGTCAATGGGAGATGAGAAGGACTGATGAGGGGAGCTGTGTCTGCAGGCAAATGAAGGAAATGGCTTGGGGGACAAATGAGGGTCAAAATATGAAGATTAGAAGTTTTGAGAGGGATACTTTCAAGAGAACTAGCTCAGTAGCCAGGAGCGTGGTTAAATGTGAAAGAGGATAACCATCTAGTCACTTGTCCAGCTTGTCTCAGGGGAGAGAAGATAAATCTGCAGTTTTTACCTTTTTAAAAATATTTTTCTAAAGCTAAGAAGATTATATTGTCTCTTCTGGGAGAAGAATTTCAGCAAAGTTCAGTCAGCCCCTAGGTTCAGTCCAGAAATTCTAAAAACACACCAGATAGAATAGATAAAAATTTTAGTAAAAGGAGATTTTTTTCTTCCTTTGGTCCATTTCTTAACAGTAAAATGATGCATAATTATTGCCATGATTAAGAAAAACACAGAGAGAATATGGCTTCTGAAATGTTGATTCACCATACAACATGTGTTAGTTTGACTTTCTGTACTTGCTGGACTCTCTGCCCAAATGAAAGTACTTCCATACTTAAACCCC